CCGCGCGCCTGCTCCGCGTACCGTCGCTCCTGCCCCGCGCCCTACGCCGTCTATGCAAGCACGCGCTCCCCGCCGCCCACGCTCGGCTGCCGAGCTCCCGTTGCCCACGACCGCCTGCAGAGCCCGGGCCCGGGGCGCCTGTCCAGGCAGGCGGCTCCCTGAACGGCCGCACTCTTAAAGGGGCCGCGTCCTAGGCTCGAGGGAGCGTCTGCAAACTCCTCTTCGGGATAAGCGCGTCCACTCGAGGACACGCCGGCGAGCCGTGTGGAGAAAAGGAAGCCGAGATTCCCAAGGGTCGTCCGGATGCTCAGAGAGCACCTTCCCGGGCACAGGCCCTGGAGGTATCCTTGGGCTTAAGGCCCCGGTTCTGGCAGCAAAGATTACTGAGGCCTAAGCATCTTGGAATCGTCGCAGGACGGTACCGATCCCTGGAGCATGAGCGCGCTGTGAAACTCCCTGCAATTGGCAGGCTCCGGGACCTGGGCGGGGCGTATCTCGAATCTACCCAATGAACTGGCCTCATACAAAGGGTCAAACGCATGCAAAACCGACGGGAAGCGAAATGTGGATGCTCCCTAACTTACTGGCTGGCCCTTGGTGGGGGAGGGGAACGAGTCTGAACCGTGGGGGAGGGGCAGCAGCCGGGAAACCACCCCCACCCCCCCAGTCCCCGCCACTACCCCGCAGCCCACACCTGCGTTCTACCTGAACCCCCTGCGCGGCTTCTGCTGGCCCTGCTGGACACGTCCTTGTCGCGCTGTGGCCTGGTCCAGTTTCCTCAGCCCGTCCTCAGCAACCCAGCTCCCTGCCCGGATGCCTCCTCCCCGACGGGACGGGTGCTTAGAACCGTCGGCTGGCCCCCTGGTGGCCACCCTGGCGCCTGCTCCACTATTGGGCACGTGCCGAGACCTTCCGGGGCCCGTTCCAGCCGACCAGGGCTTCCTGGGATCTTTGGACTATGTGTCCTGGGGACTCCAGGAGTGACCAGCCTCTATCTGTCCATCTGTTGGTCTGTCCATCCATCTACTCACCACTCGGCCCCTCCTTCTTGTCTTGCCTTCTGAGGCTGTTGGGTGCTCCAGAACAGGGGCCGCAGTCCCATGTCCCTTTCCCACAACTGCCCCGTGTTCCTTGGAGTCCAGCCTGTAAATTCCTCCTGTTGTTTTGGAAGAAGAGTAAGATCACAACGAGCACCAGATCCTGAGAGACCTTGGTCTCTCTCACTGGGGCTGAGTTGTAGGCAAGGTCAGCTTAAGATACAATCCCCTGCCACCCAGCTGGTGACCCCAGCAGGTCTGTCCCCCACTACAGAAGGCATCTATTTTTGATCTGCCCCAGCCTGCACAGCAGCTTCCAAGACTCCTGGGCCCTCTGTTGACCCGGGACACCCCTGGCCTGTGGGTCAGGGACCAAAGTCATCAGCACATTGTCTGGAGGTTCTGAGTGGCCCAGTAATTTTTAAATTTTTATTTTTTATTTTTAGCTTAGGGTCTCATATATTAGTCCTGGCTGGCCTCCAACTCAAGGATGACCTTGAACTCTTGTTCCACGTGATTCCACCCCCCAGTTGTTGTACAAGTAACACTACATCTGCTTTGGAATCTACGTTTTTAGCCAGCACCACAGTTGAGCCTGATCTGGACTCATGGCTATTGGGCTTTCTGCAGGAACGAAGGCCAACATCACTGGGGGGTGGGGGTGGGGGTGGCAAAGGGCTTGTACTAGAGGGAATGTCAGGAATGGTGGTGGGGGCTGGTTTGGGATGGGGTAGGAGACTACATCAGCCTAGTACCTTTTATTTGTCAGCACATGCGTTCTCGGTGGACAGGGGTCTTGACTGGGACCAAGTCCCTGGGTATAAAAGAGAAACCAAGACTGAAATGGGGTAAGAGGTTTGTGGAGACTCAGTAAATCCCAGTGAAGGGTTCTGACTGTTGTGAGCACCCACCCTTTGTCCTAAGAATCAGTAGGTGGAGCACTGCCTGATGTGGGAGCAGGGTGCCATGTTCCCTGAGTACTCTCTCCTGGTCTGCTGCAGTAGGTGGAGCACTACCTGACATGGGAGCAGGGCGCCATGTTCCCTGAGTGCCCTCTCCTGGTCTGCTGGGCCCGGCACTGCACACATGGTTGTGAACAGGGCTAAGGTTTCAGTGAAGGATTTGCAAGCAAAAGCATGAATTTGGATTCCTACCTTATTCCATATACGAAAGCTAGTCTGTCCACCATGGGTTGGAGACTTAGAGCTAATGCAATCAAACTCGTGAAAGAAACAAAGTTTGACAATAATTTTTGAAAAATTGGCAATAATTTTTTTGATGGACGGGATACAACCAAACCAAACCCTCACAGGCAACGAAAGTAGACTTAGATCGGTTGTACTTTGTCTGAACTTCCGTATCAAGCCCGGAGAGATGGCTCGGCGGTAAAGATCTGTTGCTGCTCTTGCCGAGGACCCGGATTCAGTTCCAGCACCCACACGATGGCCACATTCATCTGTAACTCCATCTAGATCCAGGGAATCTGACACCCTCTTCTGATCCCAGTCATGGATTCCTTTGGTGCACACACATATGTTCTGGCAGTATACTCATACACATAATTCTTTTTTTTTTTTTTAAGATTTATTAATTTATTTATTATGAATACAGTGTTCTGCCTGCCTGCATGCCAGAGGAGGGCACCAGATTTCATTATAGATGGTTGTGAGCCACTATGTGGTTGCTGGGAATTGAACTCAGGACCTCTGGAAGAACAGCCAGTGCTCTTAACCTCTGAGCCATCTCTCCAGCCCCTCCCCCCCATAATTCTTTTAAAAAAAAGTGTGCATTAAAGATTATCAGTTGAGTCATAGGCCGACCACAGAGTAGTAGAAAGTTTTGTCGACTTGCTTTTGTCTGCTGAGGGCAAATATCCAGAATGTATGGAGATCTACAACTGGACAGGAACACCTTTTCCAGCCCAGGTCTGGATGCCTTCTGCTTCCCCTCACATTGAAGGTGAGACCCAGAGGGTCTCCCAGCCTAACCAGACTGAGAGTCAGGAGATGCAGAGGTAGGTAGGCCCTTCTTTCCTTTCTGTAGTGGCCAGTCTTTGTTGTCACCTTGATCTAGAATGAATTACCTTTGAGGGATTTTTTTTTTATTGGATTATTTGAGCTGGGAAAACTAAGTTATTGTCTTTTTTTTTTTTGTTTGTTTGTTTGTTTGTTTTCTGAGACAGGGTTTCTCTGTGTAGTTTTGGTGCCTGTCCTGAATCTTGCTCTGTAGACCAGGCTGGCCTTGAACTCACAGAGATCTGTCTGGCTCTGCCTTCATTACCACGACCAAGGACTGGAGAGATAGCTCAGCAGTTAAAAGCACTGGGTGCTTTTCCAGGGGTCCTGAGTTCAATTACCAGCAACCACATGGTGGCTCACAACCATCTATAATGAAATCTGATGTTCTTTTCTGGCATAAGGCATATATGTAGACAGACCACTCATATATAAAATATATAAATAAATAAAATAATAAAAATAGATTATGACCAAGGCAACTTATAAAAGGAAGCATTTGGTTGGGGACTTGTGTACAGTTTTAGAAGGCTAGTCCATGATGGTCATGGTGGGGAGCATGGAGGCAGGCAGGCAGGCAGGCAGGCAGATATGGCACTGGAATAGTAGCTGAGAGCTTAACAACCTGATCCACAGGCATCAAGCAGAAAGAGGGAGACTTGGCCTATCATTGGCTTTTGAAAACTCAAAGCCCACCCCCAGTGACACACCTCCAACAAGACCACACCTCCCAGCCCTTGCCAAACCATTCCACTAACTGGGAACCAGACATTCACACATATATGCTTATTGGAGCCATTCAAACCACCATAAAGATCCATCCTAAATCTGAAGCATTTGAGATGAGAAGACCCTAAATCTGAGCCACATCTTCTGATGACAGCCCACATAAAAGGACATGGATGAAGGAAGCTTTTGCTTTTTGCCTGCTTCTACTCACTCTTGCTGGCAAGTTCATCTACCCTGCAGCTGAGTCATTACTTCCCTGGTATTAGAACCTGTTTCTTCAGGATTCCAACTGAAGAACCCCTAAGACATTTGGGGGATCATTTGTCCTCAGTATCTGCCTGGTGTACCTATCAATATCCCACCTGGGTCCTGGCATCTGACCTAGCCCTATACAGAACTTGCCCACCCTTACTTCAGGTAGGAAGGCTGGGCAGCCTTAAGAGTGTCATGCTCCTTTCCTTCTACATCAGGTGAGGTGATGAGATTTGTGGTTATCAGGCTTGCTAGGTCCTAGCTGGTAGATGGGCAAGGAGCAGGTGCAACAATCTCTGGCTAGTTTTTTGTTTGTTTGTCAAGTGAGAGTCATTTGGAAAGAGGGATTCTCAGTTGAGAAAATGCCTCTATAAGACTGGCCTGGGCTGGAGAGATGGCTCAACGGTTAAGAGCACTGCATGCTCTTCCAGAGGTCCTGAGTTCAATTCCCAGCAACCACATGATGGCTCACAACCATCTGTAATGAGATCTGGCGCCCTCTTCTGGCCTGCAGGCATACATGCAGACAGAACACTGTATACATAATAAATAAATCTTAAAAAATCCCAAAAAAACTGGCAAGTCTGTCCCACATTTCTTGATAAGTGATCGATGTGGTAATGCTCAGTCCACTGTGGGTGCTGCACTCTTGGGCAGGTATTCCTGAGTTGTATACGAAAGCAGGCTGAGCAAGCCAGTAAGCATTTCTCTGTGGTCTCTGCTTCAGTTCCTGCTTCCAGGTTCCTGGCTTCAGTTCCTACCCTGAACTCCTTTCATGATGGATTGTGATTGGGACCCATAAGCTGGAATGAAGCCTTTCTGTCCCAAGTTGCTTTTGGTCTTAGTGTTTTATCACAGAAATAGAAACACTGACTAAGACATCTCCTAAGAGGAAGGCCAAGACCAGGTTTGGTTTCAGAACATGGCTGTGGTCTGGCTGTATAACCCCCCTAAACTGCTGATAGAAACGTGAGTTCTACCCACACATGACCAACAGGGAACTGAGAGAAACAGCTATCTGCCACTGCCACAGAACTGTCCCTTGTTTAGTTCTCCTAGTGTAATTATGATGTCCCCTTCAGCATGCATCAACGAGGAACCTGGCTTATGGCCTCTAACCTCCTAAATTGACAGAGGGACCCAGTGAGCCGAGGTTGGGAGCGTGGCCTTCTCTCTGCCCCCATGTGGAGATTCCTTTTCCTTTTCCTTCATTATTCTGGTATTTCGGCCACACTGGTTTAGACACCTGTTAGCTAGGCTTCCTCCAAGAGAGCCGCACACAGAATGAATGGTTCAGGTGTCCAGCAGCTTTCCACACCACAAACCTCCAGAAGTCTGTGTTCCCCTGAGCCTTAGTGTCCCCTCGCCCCAACAGCATCACAGGGGATCCACAACTTCCCGAACCTTCTCTCACTTTTCCCCCCTCAGGTTCTCTCTCCTCCTCTCCAACAGCAACCCGGTGATGTTGCCATCTCCTCTAAATCCTGCACCTAAGCGACAGACAGTGGTGCATTCAAGGATGGGGAGGCAGGTCTGCAAAGGATGGGGCAGGAGAAGCTTGGTTTGGGTTCACTGGATTCCAAGAATGACAGATACGCGCCGGAGGTTAGACCTGACCTTGCCAAGAAGGTATGTCTAAGGTTTTAGGATGAGGCCCATTCCGAAGAGTCAGGAAGGCTATTCTGGGGTCTAGGAAATGGGCCTGGGCAGGGGTTGGAGGAGAAATGGTGCCTAGAGTTCAGCAGAGCAGCCTGTAAAGGGATGTGTACTCAAGCAAAAGGAAATCAGGGCACTTTGTTAAAGAAGTCACCAGTGTCCCGAGTGGCCAGCTGAGCAAAGGTTGATGGGAAGACAAACATGTCTTAA